CGCACCAGAAACCAGTACAACCGCATATTTCACGCAATTCTGTCCAGCACAGCCAAAAAGTTGCCAATAACTTTCAGCCATTCACACGTGAAGCAGAGGCGAGCGTGGAAGCTATCAGGGTTATATGCTGATAGAAACCAAGTCCCAAAAAATTCAGTTTTCTTACTGCTAAACCCGAATATTTTTCACGTGGGGATTCCGCGCGTCCATACGTTAGACGTGAACGCAAATGGAAGTCGATTTTAAACTACCAGGGTCGCATACAGATAGAAAACATTACCCCTCCCTCTAAAATTTGAACTTTCTACTTTGACAGGCTTCCGGGTTATAAAACTTCCGCCATGCTTTCGTGCAGCCCTAAAAGAACATCAAGAAACATTCTGCTAAGATTTCAGCTTTCTACTTTGTCAAGTCCCAAGCTCGAATACCCATGCAAAAAGCACCGTGGAACACTAATCTCTTGTGATTCGTTCAGACCTCGTAAAAATCAAACAAAAAACATACCTCTATCTACGCTAGTCTTACTTTCGCTCATTGTCCTTATTCTTAGCATACGCAGCAATCCACTAACTAAACTAAAAGTGTTAAATGCAACAGAGGAGGGCTGACTGCACAATATCATTCATTTCGGCCAAAATCTCATTTTAATTTTAATTTTTGCCCACTCTTTCTGCCTAAATGTTAATAATACTCAATTTTTACAAAATAAAAGTGCCCCAATTCAATAAAGCTAATCCGCAAATGGTAATGCAACAAACCAATGCCCGTTCCAAAACTGTCTGCTCTTTGTCGCACTTTTTCACTTTCTGCATGTTCTGGATTTGCACGCGCGCCAGATATTTTCCGACAGGTCATCCTGAGTTTAAAAATCTTTGAGCTGTAGGCTTCTGATACAAAAAATATTACTTCAAGTAGATAAAAATGAAGTGAAAAAAAGCTTTTGCCCCAAACTGTGTTTAGCAAAATAGCATTTAAATGCTCCCCAAAGCAAATACAGACTCTAAAAACTTACGGAATTTTGCATACTTATTTCTTATATAGTCGATAAAACGTTTCAGCACAAATGTTATGAAAAACTGAACAAAAATTTTGTACTGGTAGAGAAATGTTCCAAAAATTTTTGTTACGCAAACAAAACTATGCTAGTCACAAAAAACCCATAACCGATGCAGAAGAAAATTGAACTAGAAATCCACAGACCTCAACTCAATATCAAGTTATGATTACCGGCGAAGCTCATGGATGTCGAGTAACAGTCATAACTAATTCAGACACAAAAACAAATGGATGAAGTTAATGGGAAACTAAGCACAAAAAAAAAAATAATTGGCCAACGCACGAGCTGCTCGTGCGAAGATGCGTTTTTTGAATAGCTTTTGTCGCAGATTTTTGTCGCTAACGGCACTAGTTTTTCTGGCAGATGCTTCTAGCTAAAAGAATTTCAGACTGGCCGCCAGGACTGTCAGGAAAAATCCCGTCAAAATCTCACTCTAGCTTCCCACTTTCCCGAGTTAGCAACTTACCCGGAAGAAACTTTCAGGGGCCCGTACGTAGGTATCACGCTTATCCGCGAGCGGGGTTTGAACTCGTTAATACCTACTTGGACGGGAAGCATCGCCCTCAGATTTCAGCGTTCTAGCTTCTCAGATCCCCGAGTTATGAACATACCCCAACAAAATTTTGGCGGGCCCGTACGCGGGTACCACGGTCCCATTCTGGGGATTGGGGCCGGCACGTGCACGTAGATTAAGTTCCCGAAGTTTCAGCCCCGCAGCTTTTATAGGTCTTCAGATGAAATGCGTGAGAGACGCACACACAGACGCACAGACACACGGACACACAGACAACCTTTCGTCAATATGCATTTTCTGCATTGCAAGCTGCAAAAAACCGCATAAAAAGAATGGATAGGCTTCATTAACCTTCCTACATAAACACAGATTGCAAGAGCGGCAGTACTGAAATCTTCCGCTAACAGTTATGTTGCATACACACGGAATACCGCACTCGCTGAGAACAGAAGCTTAAAAATGATCCAAAAAGTCACAGTACCAATGAATTACAGCACATCATAGAACGGTATATGTTAGGTAATAACGAGCTGCAGTATCCATTCAGTGAAGTACTGCTACTGCAGTCCAGCTTAATATTGTTAAGATAATAAGTGCACGAAGAACCAGGACTCGAACACACCAGACGGGCCAGTGCGATCATGCGTTTTTGCACTATTTCGTGCTGTCACAAAGAATCGTAGTAGCCTGAATTTCGGACATTCTTGTCCGCAAAGTTCAGAAAGTTAATTGTGCAGCTATGTGGCATGCCAGTTGTAGAATTCGGCTTCAGTGACTCGACAAATGAAAAGTTGTTGATACGCGAAAAAGACCCCACTTGAAGAGTTGAATTTGAAATCTTTTAGTCGCACAACAGTAGAGAACATTCCCTTAAAATTCCAGCTTTCTAGCTTTTCTCGTTCTTAAGTCAGCAGTTCTACCGCCAAAATTTTCATGTATCCGCATGTGAAATGTAGACTCGAGAGAACATATCTGGCGTCGCATTTGGCCAGAGAACACACACGCAAAATTTCAGTATCAAAGCTTGCATAGTTGGCAAGTAGAAATACCCGGAGAGACGAGCACACACAGACACACACACATATACATACATACATACATACACAGTGTCGTCGCAATATGCATTTTTACTGCCTGTTACAGCACTCCAGCGTTGCACGGCAAAAACGCATAAAAATTATGCTGGCCGCGTGGCAAGAATGAGAAGTAACACTAGAAAGCAGACTACTGAGTGGTATCCGAAGCAGATTACTGAACAGAGGTACCAGTGCTGAGGGAAGACATAGAATTATTTGGACGAGGGACGATGAAACAAAAGCTAAATAGAGCAATAACAGCCGATCAAGCGGCGAAAATCTGCGATGCATGAAAAATTTTAAAGCACTTTAAATGGAAGGCGAAAAATCACTTTCGATCTAAAAGTCTGATTTTTCACCCCCACACGAAAATTGGTGCCTAGCGCTACCTATCTTACACTACATGGAGGGATTAGTACAGCGCAAGCGCACTATATTATCTGGAGCAGATACTACAGAAAAAAAACACAAACACTGAAAAATTACCACGTTCTGCTGCCCACAGAATGAGCTCTTTTGCGCAAGTCGTCAGCAGTTTTGTCCGTCGCATCACCAGAAGACGTCTCGGACGGCTGAGTGTGTACTAGCCTCGAAACCAGCAAGGATGTTCGTTGATCATCACCTGAAAATTTTGCAGGAACTAGCGAAGGAAATGTACTGCTAAAATATACACACACGATCAGTTTTCTCAATTTCGATGCGGAAACTTTTATGAGGGATATCGCCAAGATCTTCCACAAAATCGGCAAAGATTCATCGGCATAACTGAGATGCTGCTATATACTGCTTCAAATTCATTAGATCAAGCTGATACTAAGCAATTATAAGACCGTGAAAATAGACAAAGTTTTGGAAAAAAACCAGCATTATTGAAAATTATTGAAAAAAAAAAAACGGTACTTCACCGTGAAACAGAACTAGCAACGTTCGGGATGAAGTGATGATGCTCAACCCACACTACAATCATCCCAAAATAGTTCATACTTTGCTAAATGTTTCTGTCGGAAGAACCGCTGAGCTAGCAATCCGTTTGGGAGATGAACGGAACATCAAAATCGCCAAAAGGCTAATCATCGGGCAATGCCGCATTGGTCAGAGCAACAAAAAAGCTGGCAGCTGCTAGCAGCTGGAGAACTGGTCTATGAATTACAGCTGATATAAACAGTCCAAGTATAAATTTTATAGATGCTCAGATTACTTTTTTCCAGTGACTACCGGAGTTTCTAAGGATTCCGTTTCTCTATTATACCGTTTTTAACGTATTCTATTGCGCGAATCGCCTCACAACAACAGATCAGAGTTACGCGTGCGAGTGTTACTTTGCCCCTTCTCGGGTAAGAAGCAATTGTTATCAGTATCAAGTCCGTTATTTTTAAGCTTTTAGCACAAGTGAAACCAAAGCGAACGGGAAATTCGTAAGAAAATAGTCGGAAAAATTGTTTGGAAAACGAAGCTCAACGCATACGAGACTAAGCTAAACGCAAAATGCTGGAAAAAAGATAACGATTTGGTTCGTGATAATAACAATTAGTGATAATTCACTGATATCAGTAGCTACTTGAATAAAAGCAAAAATGAATAAAAAATTTGCTTCTTTCCACCAAAAAAAAACAAACCGAAAAACAAATTAGCACCAAAAACTCAAGATTTTTAGCAAACAGTGAATGAAAAATGAGAGGAAATGGAACCTACTCGGTGCTAAAGATATATTCATACGACCCGATAATTTTGAAGATGCCACACTATCAGTACTGGTTGAGATATAGGATCGTACTTCGGGAAGCTCTATATGATCATCAGCTGAAAAAATTAGAACTGTAATACCGGTAAATTCTTGCCAATGTACATATAACTCAATCCACAAACGTTCTACTGAAATCAATCAATTTCCATGTCATGCAAGCAGCTTAAAAACTAATATCACAGGGGTGTTCTGTGTCCGCGTAAGTATTAGTGAGTTCAATCCCAGCCTCCGGATAAGCGTCGTCCTCGCGTAGAGCTCAACAAAATTTTTCTGGGCGGAAATTCATAACTCGCGGATCTGGGAAGCTAGAAAGCTGCTAGGAATAGCAGGAGCACCTGCAAAAATAGGTGTGAGGACCCCATGCTGAACACAGCCTTGCCAGGTTATTCAGTCCTGAATTGCACACCTCCGGCTAGTATCTACAGACTGCTCGACGCAGAGGCGCGCTATCTTCTCAAAGGTCGTCCTGGTACTCACTGTCATTTACAATTCACGACTAATAACCTTTAAATGATAAAATTTCGCAGTGGCAGTAAGTAAACCCCCAAACTGTTCCAGCCCTAAGCTTCTGCTTTCATTTTATATCCCAGTTCTGCAGTATTCAGATCGTTTGTTTCAGATGTCTAAAGCATTCAAGCCTGGAAATTCGTTTGCCTGTCGAAAATTATTAAATTGTTTAGAACAAAAATCCCATCTTCTATCACCAGTGTGCCCCAGGCTAAACCTATATTTTTCATATCGACAGTGTTTCCGTTATTCCACTGTATCTACTTATCATTCAAGTTTTAATGAAAATCGGCGGATTTCCTGTATTAGTGGGTGGTACTCATGAGAATCGGGCGGCGGCATCCAAAAAGGTAAACAAACAGATCGAACTGACGTTAGGTACTAACAACAGAAATGCAGTTTAGAATCAAAAGTCCAAGCACAGTTGCGTCCAGCCTATGGAAAGATCCCAAGAACGTTGAAAAAGCATGAGATTTCCATACTGTCTATCTCGAATCTTTTGAGAAATTCATAGTTTTCGCAAAAATCAATCGGTAAAAAACTGACAAGTAGACGTGGACTGGCCAAAATCCATTCGAATATACCCTTCCAACTGACTCGTCTGTATCGGTGCCGGACTGCTAGCTGAAAATTCTGAAACAGAAATCGCTTTACATTTTGTTTAGCGCTCTAAAAAACTCCCACACTTTTTATGATTTTATGTTGTGTAACAGCAGTACAAAACGCATATCATCACGGGGTTGTTTCCGTCTGTGTTTGTGTGTATGCGTGTCCGCAGGAACTTGTCTGAAACTTTCAACTCGGGTACCGTAAAGTTGAAAATTTAGGGGTATGTTCCTCGCCCACGTGTGACTCCGTAAATTTAAATTCAGCCTTCCCGTACACGCGGGTAGTACGTTCGGTCCCATAAAAGTTTTGGCGAGTGAAATTGGCATGCCAACAGTAACCTTTAACTCA